AGCCCCTAAAATCGCCTCTTGGACCCCTCTTGGAACGCTCTTGGAGTGCTCTTGGGCGCTCTTGGGGCCGTCTTGGGGCTCTTTTGGGGCTCTCTTGGGGCCCTCTTGGGCCATCTTGGAGCCATCTCCAGGCCTCGGATGGCCATCGGAAGCGAAAAGGCGAGAAAGCAAAAATCATTGATTTTCCTTAGGTTTTGGGACGATTTTGGCCTCTTCGGGGCCTCCTTGGGGAGCTGTTTGGCCACTTGGAGTTATCTTGGGGCCGTCTTTGGGCTTCTTGGAACCATCTTAGGAGCCATCGTGAGCGATCTTGCGCTATCTTGAGCCATCTTGGAGCTCATCTTGGGTTCTCTGAGGCGCTCTTGGAGCCGTCTTGGGCCATCTTGGACGCTCTAACTACCCGCGGCCCCCCCCGTCCAGGTCCAGGGGAGGGGGTAGGGGGAGGGGTAAACCCCTCCCCAAGGGGGAAGAGGGAGGGGTGGAAGAGGATCTGTTCTAGACCACCTACGCCCAGAGGGCTGGTGGGATTCGACATTTCGTGAAACAAATACTTTCTTGGTGCTGGTGTCGGCTTTTTGTTCTCCCATTCTGCGTCCGAGTTGAAAACGAATCCCTCGTGGCCCGCACCCCCGATGCTTGAGGCAGCGGGCCAGCATAACACCCCTATGCCAGCCACGTCTCCAAGACAGAAATCCACCACCGCGAAGCGCTGTTGCGCGAGCGGGTCGCCCCCCTTCTTCCGATTCCCAGCGAGACTGTCACGCGCAAGACCCCGCGCGCCGAAAACGCGCAACCCCGCGACGAATGCTAGATGCATCGCGCCATTGCGTTTTGCACCTTCCCGTTTAGAAAAACTACCTCGCTTTGTCCGCTCAATCGGGAAACTGGGGGCGCCCCACAAACTCAACCCCCCCCGCCCGCGCCCGAGCGCCCCGAGACGACCCTCCCATAGCCAAAATAACGTTCACCTTCAACTCGGGGTCAAAACTTGGGTGGCCGACGCGCCGGTGACGAACGATCAGGCGTTTCCCACCAGACAGCCGCGCGCTTCCTGCAAAGAGGCCCCGCGGCCCCCGCGCGGAATCAATGCGCGGCGACCTCCGCCTCAACGGCCCGAGCAGGCCAACGGCGCAACATGAGAAATCTCGAGCGCGCCCGAAAAGCTCGCCCGATAAAAGGAAACCATCCGGATACCAACACGGTTTGTCACGACGGCGCTGCGCCAGCTTGGGCGGCCCAGCCACCCGCTTTCCAGCAAACGCTACCGTGCCTCCCCTACCTGCCCCCCAACTAGCGACGGCCGCCATCCGACGCCCGCAGCGAGGTTCAACGCGACATGCATACGGTTCGTTTCTCCTCGGCTCCACCCCCTCCAACTATTTCTCCGCCCTGCCCATCTACCTGTCCCTCGCCGCCCCTGCCCTCCCCCAACGGCCCTGGCCCGCCCTTCCCCTCCCTCCCGCGAATCCCCCCCTCGCCCCTCTCCCCCTGCCCTCCTCCGTCCGAACTATCCGGGCCCATCGTTCTCCCCACTCCGTTGCCTTCATCCATTCCCTCCCCCCCTCCCCCCCCCGCCCCCCCGCCCGCCGCGCCCCCGCCCTCGGCCTCCCGAGCGCCGCCCCGCCTTTCGCGCCACTAGCGCGCCCCCAGCAAACGAATTGCGCGCCCAGGAGGGGGGGGGCAAGAGGCAAAGGAAAAACAACTACTGGCGGGGATGCGCGGCAGCGCGATGGGATACCAGCGATCACCGAAAGCGGGGTGCTTGATCAACATGTTCTTTGTGCGGAAAAATGTACTGACCCAGTGGTGAGGGGCGTCGCTCCAGCAATCTACCTGGTGCTGGCAATGATGCAAAGGGCTCGGGGATGGCCAGGATGCAGTTCGAGACGTTCCCATCACGGGGCGCATGTCAATCGAACTCCCCCTGGCCTTTGCCCGATGCCATCCGGGCACGTCCACTTCACCCCCCTTGTCCAGATGCGTCCTGTCTACAGACGCCTGCTCGTAGCGGTGCTCCTTGTCTGCCAGATTGTAGCCGATCAGGCTGGCGAACATCCGACTATCCGCCACCTTGCGGTTGGTGTTCTTCGACTCTGCGCCGCGGAAGAGCTTATTGCCATCCTCGACGATCTTCGCGGTCGTGACGCCCGCAAACATGTTGCTGCAATACCGGCCCAACTGTTCAGTCCATTGCCACCCGCTTTTCCCAGCGATCTCGAATGCAGTTAGCACGGCAGTTTGCCTCAACACTGACCGTTTGCAAAGCTTCTTCCAAATTGGATGGGTCTGTTTCTGAGCGCCTTCCCAAGCGGCCCACATCTTCCTCATGTCAGCCAGCGCATCCTCAGCGGCGGGGCCAGAGGCTGACAGCAGCGCGAACCTACCAGGCACTGCTCGCTCGTAGAAGCAATGCGACCGCGTCCGCCGCGAGACAATTGCCAGCACCAAACGACCCAACGACCGACTGACTTTTGTATCCTGTCGCACTATGGGGTGGTCTGGGGGGAGGGCGACGTCGCGCAAGTGCATCGGCGCGCTGCCAATGCCAGCCTTGACGAGCTCGCCAGGGTCTTGCAGCACCCCCACCGTGCTCCTCATTGTGGCCATGTGCTCTCCGGGCGCTTGCTGTCGGTGCCAGTCTAGAGACTCGCTTGGACTCCGGAGATCCCTAGAATGCGCGGTGTGGAAATTGGCGGAATGGTTCATAGCCAATAAAATCACCCAAGCAAGCTGCCAAATGGTTGTGTCGCACAAAATGAGGATTACCAGATGCAACATGTTGGCGCAAGACGAACGGTCTTTCTCACGTCCTCGCCATCCTGCTTAGTAGGCTGAGAACTATCATTGCCATCGGATGTCTTGCTCGCAAGTGTCGCCTGCACGGCTACGGATTTGTCCCCCCTGTTTGAACAACCCACACTCGATGGGAACAAAGAACATGATGACAAGTTTCGTGTGCCACCACGGAAGCAAACATCTCAAGGCGAACACCAAGCCGAACCACCTGGAAGGCGCTACTCTGTCAGACTTTCTGTTGAAAGCATCACCACAAGACTGAAATGCAGATTCCAACCATTCTTCGTCCAACAAATCAGAGTCGTCAGGCCGGTCATTCGCTATGATGGGCGCAAGTTCTGCGAGGCGCTGGCCACGTAGCTCGCGGAGGCAGACCGGCAGCTCTCCAACCACCGCGCCGACGCCCAGGGGCCGTGGTCGAAATTCGATACGATTATGAGCAATCTGCTGAGCGACCACAAATTTGCATCCTTGAGAGAATTCTGCATGTCGTTCCAGATCCTTTGGCTGATGTCGTTGAACACGACTACGCACAAACTCATTGCGTATGCTAAGTACCACACTGCGCACCACCCGTCGGGCCCCTGATCGCAAGATATCACCAGCAACGGCAAAGAATCCCAGTCCTCCCATTTCGAAATGTCATCGGCGGAAACCTGGAACGCGCCCAGACCCTTGATTCCCATTGAACGAAGTACGTGGTCCACTCGGACCAACCATGCATACGATTTTTTTCGGAACACCTGGTCGGTCCTCTGGCGCTGGTCTGCGTCTGCCCCCTCGGCTTGGGACGCCCACCATCGCAAAGCGTCCTGGCGAAAGAAACGCCAGAAACAAATGCCCGAAACGATCGGCGGGGCCCTCAATACCTTTGGTGCGAAAACGCCTGAACACCAAGTGCTCCCATTGGCGCCATCATGGGGGCTGTGTTCGGGGGGCGCCAATGAGCGTTGCGCACGCGAAGGGGCCTATGCACCAAGGCAAAGCGAAGCCCTCGTGTCGTGTCGAGCATCGTTTCCTGGCGGCCGCGGCCCTCCTCCGCCAAGGCTAAGGAAGTCCCCGCCGCCGCTCCGTCGGCGGGAACTTCCCCCTGGGGCTCGTCCGCGTCGAAATCCGGCACCACCTGGGGGCGACCGAACGAACCCCCCGTCGACCCCACCAGGCCCATCGATTTCCGCTCTCAGAGGGGGCTGCTGGCTCTTCCGCCGGCTTCCGCCAAATTGCTAGCAGCGGGCACCCCTTCGCCATGCGTCCGCAACTTCTGCCCAGCCCTTCCGCCAGCTTCCGCCGACGGCGGGAAACAAATCATGCGAGTCTTCGGTCGGCCATCTCCCCGACGACAACAGGCAGGCATTCCAAAAAAAGGAAAATGACCCCCACCCAGCGGGCATATAATATCACCCGCGAACTCAAAAAATATGCCCGGCCCCGGGGGACAAAAAATTTCGCGCGCGGAGAGAAAATATACCTCGCGAGGCCGAAAATATATAACTGACCGTCGGGCGCCTTGGTCGGCGGACGGAATTTAATTGTGTTCCCCTCCGCCCAGAACTCTCGCGCGCCAGAGGAAAATACGTGAAAATATATCAAAAAAGGAAGGCTGCGGGCAGGTCCAAACAGAACAAGCCAGCCGTGTAAAAAATGCCCGCCGACAAATATATAATATACGGGCCGCGGAAGGAAAAATGTACGCCACCCCCATGGAAAATATGCGGCCGAGGAACACAAACATATGCCCCCGAAGGGTGAAATAATACGGCTCGCAGAGGTAGGGAATCGGACCCCCAAAAAGCAAACGCGCACTGGACATAAGCAGAACAAAACATCATCCCAAGCACCCGAAGACAAGTCATTCCGTGGAAGGGGGGCCCAAAATCAATCTGGAGTTCGGGCGCCCGCCGCGACTTCTCCAGCCGCGCCGACGGACTTCGGGCAGCAAGCCGCTGGTGCACGGACCCCGCGTCACGACGCGCCCCCCCCACCAAACTTTTGCGAGAGGGCCCCGCACAAACAGCAAGTTGGCCGTGCGAGGCGCCCCGGCCACCGCTGGGTGGCCAGCCCGCGGCGCCAGAACGCGCGCGCCCCGTAGGAGGCCCGCGCGGCGCGGGGTCCGTGGCCCAGCGGCCGGCTGCTTACCCCGAGGGGGTGAGGGGCCAAAAAGGGAGGTCCCCGCGAAATCCCGACCTCGCGCAAGGGGCCCCCGACTACGCGGCAATACATGCCCACACACCCCCTGGCGCTTTCGAGCCACGCGCTTGGACCTGGGGCGGCGCCCAACACGCGGCCGCCGAGACCAAGCACACGAGGAAAGTGCTCAAGATCGCCTTCTGGCCAGCCCGCGTGGCATCCACGGCGAGGGAGATCCTCGCGCACGTAGAGAAAGCCGACCGACAAGCAAACCAATACTTCGCTACCTCACGCTTCCGTTGGCCAGCACGCTGCAGTCTCTCGCCCTTGGTGAAGGACCGCGCAGTCTGGCCCATCTTGGGAGCTTCGGCCAAATGAGGGTCGACGGGCACGCCTGGCTGCGCGGCCGCCCGGTCGCCGGCCAGCAAATGTTGCTCCAGGGCGGCGCCGACGTACCAAATGCACTGTCGCAGCAAGTGGTCGCAGGGCTTTCCTGCCTCGTGCAAGCGCACGAGCAAGGACGACAAAGACACCGTGTCCGGGAGGCCAGCCACGGCGGATTCGAGCGGCCGTCGTGCCCGCTGGCCGCACTGCACGAGAGCGTTCCTGATCCCGACGACGTCCACTACGCCGTCGAGCACGTCGCACTCCACTGGCTGATCCCCGCTGACGGGGACCCCCCGGGACGCACGTGCTCAGCTTCCCGACGAAGAGGACCACGCAAGTGACCAACGGTGTAACCAAGTCCACGATGCCATCGAGCAGGCGGCGCCCTGCGCGGGCAGCGGCGCCCTCCTGACACTGCCACGCACCCTCGCCAGGACCTGGTCGGGCGCCGCGGCTCCAGCGCACCAGGAGAGCAATCATGGCGCAGGAAGAAACGCACGGCTTGTCCGTGCACCTGGACTCCGAACAAGCGCCGCCGACGACCGCAGCCTTCGCGCGGCTGTACTTGGTCGGACGAGCGCGCCGCAGATGCGGACCGTCGAGCCCTAGCCTGAGAAGGTAGACCGACCAGGACGCCCACCGGTTCGAATACCAATGGGAGGCAGTCTCGTTGTCGATCTCTCCGCGCGCGGAGTGCAAACAAGCCAAAGGCCAGAAATCCGACACCGCGGAGTGCAGCGTAGAGCATGCTGGGAGGCTGTACTGCGTTCCCGCCACACGGCACTCTGACGTGCCCCGCCCAGGTAACGCCCACAGAAAACGCAGCGACACGCGCCGCCGCCGTTTTCACACGCGCCGCCGCCGTTTTCGTCCTCCTCCTCCTCCTCCTCCTCCTCCTCCTCCCTCCTCCTCCTCTTCCTCCTCCTCCTCCTCGTCCTCCTCCTCCTCCTCCCTCTCCTCCTCCTCCTCCTTCTCTTCCTCCTCTTCCTCCTCCTCCCCCTCCTCGTCTTCCTCCTCCTCAAGGCCTCCTAGATGGGTCCGGGCAGATGGGGTCGGAGGATCGCGCCGCACCGCCGATGCATCGGCATTGTGGCTCGTTGCGGAGCCCGATTGTCCCCACGCCGACGTCGCCGATGCGTCGCCCACGTCGACAATGCATCGCTAGTGCATCGCCGATGTATCTGGGGTGCGGCGTGATCCTCCGACCCCATCTATTCGGACCCCATCTAGGAGGCCTCTAGTAAGGAGGGGGCGATGAATGGTCGGGGAAATTTAAGACTCGTGTAAGCCAGGCATCGGGTCTGCCGGCGATTTTCGACGAGCGCGTCCCGGATTTTGACGGCGCGGTGTTCGTGGGACGTTTGCAGCGGGAGATCGCGTCAAATGTCAGATTGTGTCTCGTCGTTTTCATTGATGACCGCGTCAGGCCAGCCCGAGTCCCCCGAACCCCAGTCTTACGTCTCCCCGAAACGGGGGGGGCAGCTAGGGCTGCCGAAAGGGGCCTTTGAGGGCCCCAGAGGTGGCGCCTCTTACGTCCGAGAAGGGCGCCCTGTTCCGGATATGGATACGACGCAGTCGTTTGCTAGCCAGGCCAGACATTTAGCACAGCGCAGAGAGACCCTCGCAGAGACAACGGGCTGGGTGTTCGGCGATGGATTCTCTGCCGAGCGCGAGAGGGCACGGGCTCCCGTGAATGGGGCCGTCGGAGGCCGTCGAGTGTGAATGGGCAGCGGGAGGTCGCTGGTCGAACACGTAGCAGCGCCGTACATCAAGCAGTGGCGAATTTTTTTGGCTCGCCTATAGCCCTACCGAGCAATGTTCTAAGAACCTTTTGTGGTTTCCACGAGATGTTCTTAGAACGCTTCTGGTTTATATTGTCTTGTTTTAGCACATCGGGTTTATGTTCTAAGAACATTGTGGGTACTAAGACATTTTGGGGTTCTAAGACATGAGGACATGTTTGGGTTCTAAGAACATTTCCTGGTAGGACTATAGGGTTGCCAGGATGGTCGGTCCCTGCTCAAGTACAGCTGGCACGAGGGCCAAGAACAGCCCTGGCTTGGGACGGGTGCCCTTGCGTTTCTGTGCTGGGTCCTCCGCCTTGGCTTGCTCTCGGCTTGGGGCACCTCTCCACTCGGCCCTGGGCCTTCAGCGAGAGGGGCTGCTGTTTTTGACCGGCGCTCGCGTGGACACGACTGCCACGGGTCGATGGCAGTCACCGCCGAATCTGGAGGAGGGCCAGTTGTCGGCGGCGAGCGAAGGGGGGAAATGAGTAGGCGAAGGCCTTCTCAGAAGGCGGCGGGAATTCTCAACTCAAAAGCCCTCGCGCCTTCTGAGGAGTTGTTTTGGTCTTCGGGGAAGGCTTAGAAAACTTCCAAACCTTCTGAGAAGGCCTTCTCCTTCTCACTTCCCCCCTCGCTCTCCGCCGAAGTTGAGCGATGCGGAAAATCGGGGTCGCCTGCGCCGGCATTGGCGCGTAAGCTGCCCGCGTAAGGTCGCGCGCAAGTACCCGCGTCGCCAGTGTCGCACGCCGCGTTGGCGGCCCGCGTAAGCCGCCGCGTAATGCCGCTATGCCATCACGCTTAAGACTTGTTTCGCTTATTCGCCCAATTGAGACAACGGCGGCCTCCCGCCCAGCCCAGAACCGCTCAAAGTCATCCACGCGGAATCGGTCCCCGAATCATCCGTTCGATGGCAGCCCTCCCCTTCCTCCTCCTCCTCCTCTTCCTGCTCCTCCTCCTCCTCCTCCTCCTCCTCCTTCTCCTCCACCGCCTCCTCCGC